TGCTCCACTCATACACCTCACACTCTCCAGCATCACCCAGACTGGGAACACTGGGAGGTTTTCCCTTTATTCCAAAGCTTGGAAAAACACCAGTATTTGCCAAAAAAAACCCAAACCAAACCTGCAGAACCCAACAGCCAAAAACACACATTGAGGGGAAACCTCACACCGAGGGGAAACCTCGCATCGTGGCCCCCCTCCTCTGAGTCCCCCACCTCCCGGGATCCACCGAGACGATGCTCCCGGATGGGTGGGAAGATGTTGCTTCCCGGGAACAAAGGAAAAGTTCCTTCAGATCCTTGAAATTTGGAATAAAAGCCACTCACAGCTGTGTGTACCTGTCTTCCCGGTAGATCGAGTACCAAACCATCACCAGAAACAGCGCCAGCACCCCGAGGATCTTCCCTCCTGCGCGTCCGGAGAGCCGAGGGAAAGAAAAATAAAATAAAATAAATAAAACAAACCCCAAACCCAGCGTTAATCCCGTACCCAGGGTTTGGATCATGGGATTTGGGGGGTTTGCAGCCTCCAGGGATGTCCTGGTAGATCCAGGATTAAGGACTCTCCCCAGGGAGAAGTTGGGGTCTGGTTGGCACAGTCACCCTGGGCGCTGAGACGGAGCCAGGTTGGTTTTATCCTGGATCCAAGAGTCGTTTCCTCCTTCTCCAAACATCCCCTTTTCCCAGGTGTCTCCACCTTGTTCTCCCACCACAAAACCCAACGGCAACCACCTGCCCGAGGCGGGAGGATCAAAGATCCCAAAGTCCCCCACCGTGACTTCACCCAACACCCAACCGGAGCTGCAGCAAAACAGCATCCGATCCCCAAAAAACCCCAATTTCCACATGTAAATCCCACCCGGAATTCCCATCCCTGCGTGGGAAGAGGGAGATGGGATCACGCTGTGAAACTCACGAGACTTGTTGAGCATTTTTATCAGCAGGAGAGGAATCAGGCGAGGGCCGGAGCTCTCATCGCGGCTGCCGCCGGTCACCTGGAGTGGGAAAAGAAGGAAAAAACATGGGATGAGATCAAATCCATTGGAGTTATTCCCAAAAAATCCCATCCGAGAGGCGTCACCCCCCGTTTGCCCCATCCGCAGGCAGCTGGGAGGTTTCCCAAGGGATTCTTATTTCTTTTCTATTTCAATTCCCATTTCTCTGCCCCGCAGCCACCAAAGGTTTGATTTGATCCCGAGTTTTTAATAGCCAGGCAAGCCGGATTAAATGCCAGAATTCCAAAGGGAAAAAAAATAATTAAAGAATTAAAAAAACACCAAAACACCAAAAAACAAACCCCCAGTTGGGTTTTAATTGCAAAACCCTGAAGGACCCAAATTTACAGCAATGATTTGAGGGAAGATTTTAAACCCAGCTCCTGGATTTTAAACCCAGCAGCTGGGATTTTACCACAAATTCCTGGATTTTAAACCCAGCAGCCAGGATTTTATGCCCAGCTCCTGGATTTTAATCCCAGCAACCAGGATTTTACGCCCAGCTCCTGGATTTTAAAACCAGCAGCCAGGATTTTACGCCCAGCAATCAGGATTTTATGCCCAGCTCCTGGATTTTAAGCCCAGCTCCTGGATTTTACATCCAGCTCCTGGATTTTAAGCCCAGCTCCTGGATTTTAAGCCCAGCCACCGCAGGTATGAAGCCAAAAGTGCCACCACCAAGCCAGGCAGAAAGGACGGGAGCAGCCGAGCGGGATCAAAGCGAAGAACATCACCTACTTGGGGAACCTCCAATGCCTTCGATTCAACCATCCTGGTTTTAGGAAAAGGGGAATGTCTCAAGTTTAACGCAGGGGAAGCAGGGTGATTTTTTTCTTCCTCCAAAACCTTTCGCTCCTAGAATAAGGCAGCAAAAAAATTCCCGGTCGGAGCCATCCCGAGTGAGTTCAAATCATCACGACACGACGGGAAAAAATAACTTACCAAGTGGGGGAAAAGTTTAGGAGACTTTGCTCCCAAGGGATGAATTTTAATCTAAACCCAGTTTAAGAGCTGGGCTTGATTTTATCAGCTCATAAATAAACTGCTCCGCACTCTGAACCGGCCACGTCTCGGAGGAGGAGGAGGAGGAGGAGAGGGTGAGGAGTTCTGCAATGCTCAGCCAAGAGGAAAGGTGAACGCCCGGGTTGGGCGATGGAAATCCTGGTCTCGAGGCATTAGTCACCTTGTTGTGGTGAAGGGAAGAGTGTGTGTGTGGGGGGGGAGCACCCATCTCAGCACCCCCCCCCACCTAACCAAGCAGCGTTAATGACCCCAGCCCCTGCCACGTCGAGAATGAATCAAGGAGGTTTTGAGGGGGTAAAAATAGAGAAGAAAAAAAAAAGAGAAATGGGATCAAAATGGTCCCGTGAGAACCAGGTTCTTCCTTTCCTCATCACCAGCTCCTGAAATTCAAAGGGTAATTAATTTAAAAGGCTAATTAAAAAGGGAATTAAGGGCGATTAAACCGTGCTACGAGCAACGGGATGGGATAGGAAGGAAAGAAAACTCAGTTCAGCTCCCACCATCACATGGGGACACCAGGAAGGGGAAGAAAATGTCCCCCGGGTCCTGGATTTACACCCGGATCTCACCCTGCAAACATCCCCCTGGTCCTGGATTTACACCTAGATCTCATCCTGCAAACATCCCCCTGGTCCTGGATTTACACCTGGATCTCAATGTCCCTGCTCCTGGATTTACATCTGGATCTCAATGTCCTTGCTCCTGGATTTACACCTGGATCTCAATGTCCCTGCTCCTGGATTTACACCTGGATCTCATCCTCCATCCGTGTTTCCAGCTCTAATTTAAGGGAAGATTAAACCCGCGACGGCGTCTTCAAAGGGACGAGGAGCTGGGGGGGTCTCTGCTCTTTAAACATTGCATTTGCTTGAAAAACAATAAAATTTGGGGGGGAAGTAAAAAGTAATTTGTGTTTTCTTGGGGTTTTTTGGTGGAGTTTTTTTTTTAAACAGTAAAAGTGGAAATAAAAGTCCCCGGAGGGAAAATCTGTCAGCGCAGCTGGAGGCTGGTGATGCTCCTCGGGGACCTGAGCACCCTGGTGCAGCCAGAGCTGCATCGGGGTCGGGATTTAGCACCGAAATCACCCCCGTAATTCACGTCCTTTGGGTGTTAAATCACCCGAGCGCGCGCGTTTCACCCGGCCCGCCGGCTCAGGACACTCTCGTCACCTCCGGTGTTTGCTTTTACCAACCGCCTTTCTCTAAATATTGTTTTAATTTATTTTTTTTAAAGCTTTCTGATCTTTCTTTTCTTGTGAGCACAAGCCCCGCCTGATACCCAACTTATCTCAAGATAAACAGGGCGAAATAATCCCCCAGGAAAAGGAACGTTTGGGTTTTTTTGAAGCGTTCGGGGAATGCAAAGCAAAACAAGAGCACACCCAGGTCGAGGAGATGGAGGTGAGATGGGAACGAGGCCAAGTTCTCCAACCCTCCAACCCCAACCTTGTCCTACCAGATTCACAGTTTCAGCTTAAATTGAAGCAGCTGCTTAAAACGAGAAGGTCTGAGCAACCCCCAGCCAGTTCCCTCCGACCTGGAGGAGGAGGAGGAGGGAGTGATGGCGCTGAAGGGTCTTGACGGTGGCCACCCAAGCGCCCTTGGAGCCCACAGTGTCTCCAGTTCTGCAGCACCACCACACCATCCTCTGGTCCTGCAGTATCTTCTGGTCCCACCACACCATCCTCTGGTCCCCACCACACCATCCTCTGGTCCTGCAGTATCTTCTGGTCCCACCACACCATCCTCTGGTCCCCACCACACCATCCTCTGGTCCTGCAGTATCTTCTGGTCCCACCACACCATCCTCTGGTCCCCACCACACCATCCTCTGGTCCTGCAGTATCTCTGGTCCCCACCACACCATCCTCTGGTCCCCACCACACCATCCTCTGGTCCTGCAGTATCTTCTGGTCCCACCACACCATCCTCTGGTCCTACCACACCACCCTCTGGTCCTCTAGCATCTTCTGTTCCCACTGTAGCATCTCCAGTCCCACCACAGCATGCTCTGGTCCCACCACTCCATCCTCTGGTACTGCAGCATCCTCAGACCCCACAACATCCCTGGTCCCACCACAGCATCCCTGGATCCTTGGTCCCACCAACACAGCATCCCTGGTCCTGCAGCATCCCTGGTCCCACCACAGCATCCCTGGATCCACGGTCCCACCACAGCATCTCCAGTCCCATCACAACATCCCTGCTCCCCCACCAGTGTCCCTCACCACAGCAACCCCATCCCATGGGGTCAATCATCACCTTCCCCCAGCGCCAAATCCCAGAGCTGGGGGGAACTTCCCAGGTGGATTCATCTCCCCACGCTTGGAAGAAGCAACCGAGAAAGCCCCTCGCCTTGATGTCTGATTATAAATCCCTCCCACTCCATCCCAGTACGAGTGGATGGTGATCCCAGTAAAGCATCTGTGGATCAACAGACCACGCAGGAAAAGCTCTGGGTATTTTTCTGTTTCCATGGTAACTCATAGATTGGGAAGATGAAGTGTGACAGGAGGTGAGGACACTTCTCCCAATGATCCCATCATCCATCTCATCCCCCACAACCACAGAGCTGCCCGGTCCAGCTTCCCCAGTTGGGGAATGAGCATCTCCAATGGTTCACCCTCCCCCACCCCCCAAAAAATAATATATATATATTTATTTTTAACTGGAGCAGAGCTGGATTTGAAGGGATCACGTTGGATGCGCTGGCATTCCCTAAGGATTCACTCCCAGCAGTGGGAACTGAAGGGAGACAGACAAAAAGATGCGACACCACAGACCATTGCAATCCCAGTCAGACCAGTATGGGATGAGCAGGATGGATGATCCTAAGCTCTATTTTGAGGACAAAAACCAGGATCAACCCTCAAGGAAGCAGTTTACAGCCCCAGGGATGTTCCAAGCCCCCATCCCACGGGTTTTCTCCATGCGGTAGGGCTGAGATTGCCGGAGGAACCTGGCAGATGCCGGCGTACCCCCCGCATCGGCAAAACCATCGCGTGCCGGAGCCTGAACTCAACCTGGGAGGTGGTTGGGAATGATCCTCCAGGGAAAGGATCCGGCTAAATCCATTGCCTGGGCTTGGCAGAGCATCAAAGGTCCCCAAATCCTCAGCTTGGTATCTCAAAATTCCCTCGCTCCAGCTGCTGCGAGCTCCAGGTGCCCAGGGAAAATTTTTTTTCCCCAAGCTGGGAAAGAAAACGGAGACCCAGAGCGGGGAGAAAAACTTTGTGGGATTGAAAATCGTCACCGGCACAAGCTGAAAAGGCATCAGGATTGGGATGTGATCCTCCTCCGAGGGATGCTGGGGTGGGATCAGGATCCTGTGGTGGGATCAGGATGCTGCAGCTGGGAAACTGAACCAGAAAATGACCGACAACAAGAGCACGAACCGTTGAGCCAGGGGAATGCAGGTCATGAGGACACAGCACCACAAAATTCAATCCGGTTTGACACCAGATTCTTACCCCATCGAGGGCACTGAGAGTCCAGCCCCATTTTAAGAGCTCAGCAAGTCACTTGAAAGGAATCTTAATTGCCTCTTAATAAGAGAGGCAGCGCCGTTTCCGTAGCCCCGTGGTAGCCCAGGCACACACAATAACCCGGCCAAAGATTTATGATGAGTTGGGTGGTGGTGTGGGGGGAAAAAGAAATAAAAAATAGAAAATAATACCTAACTAACCTGGCTGGCATGTCAGCCTCAACAAAAACATTTCCTCCTGCTGAGGGTGCGATTTGAAAGGTGCCAACAGCAAATATGCTCAAGCAGGACGAGTATTTCCACGGCCGCGCGTCCTCTGGATAAATTCAGGCTGTTCCTGCCTTTCCTGCTTGGTTTTAATCCACTTAAGAGGTCAAATTCGATTCAGGACGGTGCTGCCACCCTCTCCCATGATTCTATTTTTTAAATTTTTAACAGGGATGGGACCTAAATCCTTTTTATGGCTCCAAAACACCGGCTCGCTGAGC